TACTACAAAATGGCGTAGAATAGTGCGTAAGTATTGCGATTTGGAACACAGCAAGAGCAAAGTTTACCACATATATTAGCTGCGTCCCAAATCGCATTCTTATGCACTATTCTACGCCATTTTGTAGTATAAATAGTGTATGTAGTGTGTTCACACTGAAATGAAGTGTGTAATGATGGACACTTCACGCACTCAACGAACGCAGGTTTGCTTACGTTGCGGAAGGGGCGGAGCTATCGGGCGCACATGTAGGATAACTTTATTTATTTTGGATGGTCAAAGCAAAATTCTCCTATGAGAGTGACTATAGCGCCTCCTGATGGTGAATGCGGTTATACTCACGGCAGGTATTATTTGATTATTCGGTTGTTTATTTCACTGATTTAGCAACCGTCAAATGTCATCAGGGAAACGGTTTGAATTTCCGCTTAGTAAAAAGCCATAAGTGTGCCATTTAGGATGCCACTACATACATATACTATCCTGTTGAGTGTGTAAGTGCATAAGTACATAGTGCATGAGTGCATAGTGTATAGTGTGCCATTTGGGACGCAGCTAGAGTCTCTTTCTTGACCATGTGACCAAAGCCAAATACCGAGACGTACAAACTGACCAATCAACATGTGACCATGTCATAAAACCCCCAAAGTCCATTAATCAGGCCCTGATCTAATCAGTATCTGCTATGTGGATCTGTATGGTCCTTCAAGATGAAAAATACATGTTTTGCCATATAAACAAATGCAAATGATCATGTTCATTCCGACAATGGCTATAGATTTTTTGAGCCTGTTAAACTCGACGCTTGAGTTCTTTTACAGATCCTCACCGAACAAGCAAGTTTAAAAGGGCAACAAACACACTGTAAAACCCAACACAAAGCCACTCAGCATGTTCCAGCAGCTGCGTTGTTTGATGGTTGTGATTATCATTTACAAACAGCTGCAGCCGGATCAGACTGATTCAGATCATTAATTGTTCAGCGCAAGTTTGTGAACCGTTTAAAGAGATTCATTAAAAGCATCATCTCTTTCCGTAAGCAGACATCTCCTTTGAATCTCAGAGCAGCAGCTGGTTTATTCAGTTCAAAACAACAAGGAATAATGTGTAACGCTTTTCTTATTATATAGAGTGCTGTGCAACAGTCTCCACCATCAGCTTTGGGATCCTTTTGCACAAATCTATCTATCTAAAAGGTATGGAGCAAGTGCAGGGTCATTACTTTTAGGTGAACTATGGTGTGCTTTTAATAAACAAAATAAAAACATGGGAAATATGTACAGACTCTTCAGAACAAAATTACTTAAAGACTCGCATCAAAAGTCTGTTTAAGGTGACCTTTTTAGCACCAAGCTTTTCAGAAATGATGTGCTGTTTAATATCAAGCGTCCTTCAGGATTTCTTCAGGAGTTTTTTCTTCCTAGCTAGCAAAATTCATGTGGGTCAAATCCGGCCCACACCAGACACTTACATCCGGTCCACATACCGCATGGATTGATGGCTCTTGGGCGGTCCGCTCCTGTTTGCCAGATCTGGGCCACTATTAAGCCAAAGCAATATCACATATCAGCCAGAATTCAACCAAACGAACCAGAACTGACCCTATTCTGGGCCACAGTTTGCTTTTATTCTGGCCCACATCCGACCCACACCAGACACGTACATCTGGACCACACACATACTGAATGGAGTGATGGCTCTAGGGCGGTCCAATCCTGTTTGTCAGATCTGGGCCACTAATAGGCCAAAGCAATCATACATATCAGCCAGAATTCAACCAAATGAACCAGAACTGACCCTATTCTGGGCCACAGTTTGCTTTTATTCTGGCCCAGATTCGGCCCAAACCGGACACTTAAATCTGGACCACATACTGAATGGAATGACGGGTTTAGGGCAGTCTGATCCTGTTTGTCAGATCTGGGCCACTAATAGGCCAAAGCAATCATACATATCAGCCAGAATTCAACCAAATGAACCAGAACCGATCCTATTCTGGGCCACAGTTTGCTTTTATTCTGGCCCAGATGCGGCCCAAACCGGACACTTAAATCTGGACCACATACTGAATGGATTGATGGCTCTAGGGTGGTCCGATCCTGTTTGTCAGATCTGGGCCACAAATAGGCCAAAGCAATCATACATATCAGCCAGAATTCAACCAAATGAACCAGAACCGATCCTATTCTGGGTCACAGTTTTTTTTATTCTGGCCCAAATCCGGCCCAGACCAGACACTTACATCTGGACCACATACTGAATGGAATGACGGGTTTAGGGCAGTCTGATCCTGTTTGTCAGATCTGGGCAACTAATAGGTCTAAGAAATCATACATATCAGCCAGAATTCAACCAAACGAACCAGAACTGACCCTATTCTGGGCCACAGTTTGCTTTTATTCTGGCCCAGATCCGGCCCACACCAGACACGTACATCTGGACCACACACTGAATGGAGTGATGGCTCTAGGGCGGTCCAATCCTGTTTGTCAGATCTGGGCCACAAATAGGCCAAAGCAATCATACATATCAGCCAGAATTCAACCAAATAAACCAGAACCGGCCCTATTCTGGGTCACAGTTTTCTTTGATTCTGGCCCAAATCCGGCCCAGACCAGACACTTACATCAGGACCACATACTGAATGGAATGACGGCTGTAGGGCATTCTGATCCTGTTTGTCAGATCTGGGCCACTAATAGGCCAAAGCAATCATACATATCAGCCAGAATTCAACCAAATAAACCAGAACCGGCCCTATTCTGGGTCACAGTTTACTTTTATTCTGGCCCAGATCTGGCCCACACCAGACACTTACATCTGGACCACATACTGAGTGGAATGATGGCTCTAGGGTGGTCCGACCCTGTTTGTCAGATCTGGGCCACAAAAAAGGCCAAAGCAATGATACATATCAGCCAGAATTCCACTAAATAAACCAGAACTGACGCTATTCTGGGCCACAGTTTGCTTTTATTCTGGCCCAGATCCGACCCACACTGGACACTTAAATCTGGACCACACACTGAATGGAATGATGGCTCTAGGGCGGTCCAATCCTGTTTGTCAGATCTGGGCCACAAATAGGCCAAAGCAATCATACAT